CTGAACCCTCTCCTCCAGAGAAGGCGTACTGGAGCACCGCCCTGGCCGTGACCGGGAAAGGGTTTTCCGAAGCTGCCTTCACCACTGCCTACTTGTTCACTTCGGAGCTGTACCCTACTGTGCTCAGGTGAGGGGAGCCCGAGTCCGGGCAACCCTGGGGAGTGGGTTTGTTAGTCTCATCTCTTCCCAACACCCCCACATACACCCAACACACTGCACCCCCGTCCCTCTCACCCATTCCCTGCACAGCACTCGGAATACGGAGGTAATCAGAGCCTCTGTTGGCCTCAATCTGGGAGAAGGTGGGCCATTTTATCTTCTTCACTAAGTGACCCTGAGGGAGGCCAGACGACTCTGGGCCTCCTTTAAAAGAAAGCAGTGGCCAGAAGCCCCGTCTGCCCACCCCATCCCATCTCCCCGCAGCCCAGGCAGCGCTGCCCTGGGGAGCTGTGTCTGGACATAAGGCCTGGCCCCTTTCAACTAGCTATTGGCAGGCCAGGAGGCGGCGTGTTGGCAGCCGAGTATGATCAGAAAGCCTTGCACCTCCTCTGACAACATGGTATAATCTATGAGCTGCTGGCCCTCTTCCTTCCACACTGCTTTCCCCCACCCCCTTTCCTGTGACGTTTCTTTTCCCTCAATACCTGACTGGTCCTCTGTCAGAATTGGGGCCCCATCCTCTGGTGGGTCTTGACTTGGGAGGGGCCTTGGCCAGGGGTGAGTGGGAAGACCACCCAAAAGGAGCCTCAGCTTTCTTAGCTGTCTGGGAGGAAAGGGGGTACCAACAGCGGTACTCCCTGCCGGCCGGGGAGGGCCCCATGAGGCGTGACTCTGAGTAGCTGTGAGCACCAACCCCTCCCCCATCCTTTCTCTGAACAGACAGACAGGGATGGGGCTGACGGCACTGGTAGGCCGGCTTGGGGGCTCTTTGGCTCCACTGGCGGCCTTGCTGGATGGAGTATGGCTGTCACTACCCAAGCTCACTTATGGGGGGATTGCCCTGCTGGCTGCCTGCACTGCCCTCCTCCTGCCAGAGACAAGGAAGGCACAGCTACCAGAGACCATCCAGGATGTGGAGGGGAAGAGGTGTGTACATTTGCATGTGGGTATGGGTGCTCAGGTACCTGACACCTTAGGTAGGATTCAGAGGAAGACATGTCTTTATCTGGTACACTATGCAAGTATGCTTTGGTGCATGACCTAAAGTATGTAAATTGTGTGTATAAAAGCATGCTCGAGTCCATATCCATGTGTGTGTACATAAATACCTAAGACTGTCTAGGAAGAGGTGGATGTATGCACACTCAGGTATACCTGTACATCAGGGATGTGTATAAGCACGTGTAGGAGTCCCTTGTGGGAGTACACACATTTATATACCAAGAGTTGGGGAACCCTAGGTCAGCACTAATGGGGAAGGCTGGGGTGGTAGACTCAGGGGCTAAACCCCACCATTATTCACGACTCCTTCCTCCCCAATGCCCCGTCCAGCCTTCAGGAGGAACAGATGCCCATGAAGCAGGTCCATGACTGAGTGGTCTCAGGAGCAGGCACTCCACAGAAGTTCTGGACCAGGGCTGGGGGCATTGAGCCCCCTGCTCAGGGTTGGATTTGCCAACGCCATTCTCTGTGCTCATCCAACTGCTAGCAACAGAGTGACTTCCAAAATGCAGTGGACTGCTGGAGAATTCTGGTACCTCTCTCTTGGCTAAGTGGATTCTATAAATAAAGGTTCCCCCCGGGTTGGAGCAGCAGTATGGAGCTGTGGGATGAGCCCTGAATGGGAAGCCACTGAGTCTGGTGCTGGCTTCTGATCTGACCTTTGCCACTGATTTGCTGTGTGACCTTGGGCATTTCCCTTTTGGAGCCTCTGTTTGTTCATCTCTCAAATGGATAATGAAACTTCTTAACAGACCTCACCACAGGATCTAACTGTTGTCACACTCAATGAGGTGCAGAATAAGGTGCTTCTTCTAGAGATGGTGCTATGATGACGTCTGTGGGCATGCTTTTCACTGTGTAATGCTGGAGGCTGCCCAATGCCAGGGCCAGGAGAACAGAGCTCTTTGTTCCATAGCTGGTCTTACTACCTCCCTGGCACTTTGCAGGGTAATGCATTCTCCACCGCCACTCCCGCCCCCAGACCCACTATCTAGGCCTCATGCCCAAAGAAGAAATGAAGACATGAGAGCCAACATTTTATTGGAGAAGACTGAATAAACACAAGTTTTATGAATACCTTGAAGTTATAGAATTTGCTGGGGAAAGGAATTGGAAAGGACAAGAGGCCAACATTCAAAATGGGGTGGACCAGTTCCCCTGAGCAGATAGGAATGAGAAAGGGAGGAGTTGGCAGAGAAAGTCTAGACTTTCTGGTCTGCTATGGAGCTGAGGCCCACACTGCCAGAATCCCATCCTCCCCTACCTCTATGGGATTGAAGAATTCTGTAGCTCCCATTGGATCATGGAGGGGATGATGGGAGGCCTGAGTTAGGGTGACTTCTGTAAGCATCTCATTTGGATTTTATCTCCACAGGGTCATAGATGTAGCAGCCCACATCACCAATGTTCACACCTGAGGGAGAGAGCCTCATCACTCAGGGCCTTGTGGCCAGGGGTACTGGGCTTAGGGCTGGAGGGAACTGGGAGGGACCTGGGATATATCTGAGTACAGGGGAAGTTGTCCACACATCCCCACAGACCCACATGCCATACTTTAAGCCCAGTGTCTAGGGTGGGGCTGCCCACCTTTGGGGCCAAACAGGTAGCCGTAGCAGGGGATGTGGCAGTAGGGGACGCCGTCATGCTGGGACACAGAGAGAAAGAGAGCACTCTCAGCTTGGCTCTTTTCCTATCTCCAGCCTCTCTCCTCCCAGCATAACCACCCATTCCTTCACTGCTCACCTCAGCGTGGCTCCCAGCAGTCAGAGTCTTCCGGCAGCGCTGGCACCTCAGACAGGGTCGGTGCCAATTTCTGCCCAAAGACATCACCTTCTCAGCTGGTGGTGGAGAGAGTTAGTAACCCTAGGGGCAGGGCAGGAACCCTTGCACCACCTCCCTGCCCTTTGATACCCACCTTGTATTCCCCTCCTTTCACTTCTCTTGTCACTTACCAAAATAGACAGGTTCCTCACAGCCAGGGCACAGCGAGGTCTCCCCAGTGAATGTCTTCATGTGGGAAGGGCCTTTAAAGGGAAGAAGCCCTGGCTAGGGCCGAGGTGGAGGCCAGGCCTAAGTAGGGCCCTCTAGCACCAGTCTGCATATGGCACTGTCCTCTTCCCAAAGCCATGCTCACTCCAGAGCCTCCCATCAGGTGGCCATAAGTATGCCTTCCTCAGACAGAGCTGAGTCCCCTCTGACCCCACCCCCGTCCTATCCCTATCTGCAGGAGGGACCACCTACTTCCTTCTCGTCCTCTCAGGGGTTCAGGTGCCCACCAGCCCAACCCTGTCAGCAACTCAATCCTCAGGAAACCTGAGCTGATAGAAGAGCTGCCCAGGGCAGGGGTGTCAGGTGTTTGGGGAGCACGGTGTCACTGCCCACTGTAGGGGACAGGAGAAAGTAACAGAGGGGAGCAGTGGAAGAATGTGAGGGACTGGCCTATCTCAATGACTCCTCGTTAGTCATTCCTTCCATGGTCTTGCCTGGGAAAGCCTGACTTCCAGGCTAGCTTTGCCTCTGACTGGCTGTGACTACACAAGGTCACTTGCCCTCTCTGACCTCGGTTTCCTCACCTGTAAAATGGGGGTGGTAAAGCCATTTGCCCACTTTACCTATGAGCTCAGCAGCTGACATGAGGAAACATAAAAAACCTGTTCTTGGATAATGGAAGATTTTGCCATGAACAAAGTTGTAGGAATGTGAGGCATAGGACTATATGAGAGACTGCTACCTGCTTCCACCCCGTTCCCCAGCCTAGGAAGGATCAGAAGGAGGGGGCTCAGCCTCACTTACTTTTCTTGCGCTGGGGGAGGCCAGTCCTGGGTCTTGGGGGGCTGAAACTGCTGGGGTCGAGGGGAGTGGTGTTGGCACGGGTGAGAATGGGAGAGTTGTAGAGGTAGGAGCCCACACCACCAATGTTCACGCCTGCAGAGAGAAGAGGGTGAGTCAAAATTGAGTCTCCAGGTCCTTGCCGCAGAGAGGGTTTCCGCTGCACTCTGTCCCCTTCCAAACTGGTACTTACCACTGGGTCCGAAGAGAATCCCATAGCATGGCTTGTGGCAGTACGGCCTCCCATTGTGCTAGGCACAAGTAGAAGAAAAGGGGTTGCTCAGGGATAAGGGGGCTTCTCCTGTGTCTCACAGGTCTTCCTACCAAACACACTGCCAGGTGTCTGCCTACTGGCCTGGGCTGGTGGGGCTGGGAGGGGCAAGGGTGGGCTGGCATGCCAGAATTGCCGCTGTGGTCAGAGGAAAAGGGCAAGAGCAGGTCAGGAAGCAGTGCTGCTGCCTTCTCCTCCCCCTCAGATGGCATGGGGCTCACCAGTACTACTCAGGGTCCCCAAATCCTGGCTGGTGTGGGGCCCACCCTGGAAGTGGTTTTGGGAGTTGACACTGAGGTTGCCTTTGGTGAGCTGAGAGGGCCACAGTGGGGCTAGTGCCTGGGGGACAGTAACAGACATAGGGTGGTGTGCCCCAGATAGGTCTCACCTCTGCATGCCCTCCTGGGGACAGGACACTGTGGCAGTGCTCACATTTCAGGCAGAAGCGGTGCCAGTTCTTGCCCAGGGAGCTCACCTTCTCCGCTGTAGGGAACAAGGTGGAACCAGGCTGCCAATCGCCCTCCTTTCTCCCCTCAGCCCCATCCTGCTTCCGGGAGACGGTGGGGAGTGTCTCCAGGAGGCCAGCTCCATCCCGCCAGAGTGCCGGTCCCACAGCTAGAAGGGAGTCTGGGGTTGCACCCGCGCCTGTTCCTCGTGTCCTCAGGGAACCCAGCGGCTCACACTCGCCCAGTTTTCTCCCGCTTCTCAGCCCGGGCCTCACCGAAGAAAACGGGTTGCTGGCAACGTGGGCAGGTCCAACTCATGGCTCCGCTCAGGTAAGCTGGTTGCTGCACACAGTAGGCACCCAGCAGGGACTCCGTTCCACCCTCTCCACTGGCTCCACCCATGACTCAGCTTGGAGCCTCATTGGGCTGAACCCCCTGTTCCTCAAAGCCCATTAGTTGCCAGAAATTTAGCACTACTCCACCTGGGGGACGCTGGCGCCTTCGCAATTACTTCCAAACACTAAAGCCTCTCACCCTCTGAGAAGTGAGAAGGTCCTGAAGCCAGACTGTGGGAAAAGGGAGCAATGAAGACACTTGGTACTAGTTTCTGGCTTGGTACGGAGAGGGAAAATGCCTTGAGTGTAGACACCATGAAAGCACTATTATTTCAAACCCAAAGCGAGGGCTTAGGAGTTCTTTGAAATGGTTTAATTCCATCTTGGCAGTCTCACAGGTGGTTAAGAGCACCGGAATCTGCAGTCCATCTCTGCTACAGGTAAATTACTTAACCATCCTCTGCCTGTTCTGTACAACACTATGATGATAAGTCTCTACCTCAAAGGATTGTTGTGAGAATTATTTACGTTAATACATGCAGAGTGCCCAAACAGCACCTAGCATTTAAATGCTATAAAGCAATCTCTTCCATAATGAACTCTTAGTTTGGAAGCTTCAAAGGGTGGTTCTGCAAACAATGGTTTGCTTGTAAAATTATGCTTATTAAATTTAAACTATAATTCAGTCACCAATTACATATTCCTAATTTAGTTTAAGATGTTTTAATATTTATTAAAAGTAGCTCAACAGCCCAGCACGGTGGTTCAGTGGTTGAGCATCGATCCATGAACCAGGAGATCATGGTTCGATTCCTGGTCAGGGGACATGCCCGAGTTACGGGTTCAATCCCCAATGTGGGATGTGCAGGAGGCAGCTGACCAATGATTCTCTCTCATCATTGATGTTTCTATCCCTCTCTCCCTCTTCCTTCCTCTCTGAAATAAAAATAATAATTTTTTTAAAAAGTAGCTCAGCAGTGCTTCAAAGGACACTTCAAAAATGGAACCTCACAGAATGGCAGAAAAACATTTGCAAACATGTATCTGATAAGGGTCTAGTAACCTGTATAAATATAAAGGACTGTTACAACTCAATAATAAAAAGACAACCCAATTAAAAAAATGAGCAAAGAATTTGAATAGGCATTTTTTCCAAAGAAGATAGAAACATTGTTAACCCAAATAAGCCAGACATAGAACACCACCACATATTTTATGATTCCATTGATATAAAATGTCCAGAGTAGGAAACCCACAGAGAGAGATTAGTGGTTGCTCAGGGTTTGGGGAAAGGGCTAATGGGTATGAGATCTCTTTAGGGGAAGATGAACATGATCTGGAATTAGATATTGGTGATAGTTGCACAACCTTAGGAATATATGAAAAATCAATGAATTGTACACCTCAAAAGGGTGAACTTTATGGTATGTGAATGTCTCAATGTTTCAGTTTCTCAGTAATAATGATGATTATAACAATAATAATGCCTTAAGTGAACTACTTAAAAAAAATGGTAGCCTAGCAAATGAGGGATTAAGAGAGAGCTGATTACTTTGTACCCCAGCAGAGCAGACCACCTTGATAAAATATCAAGGTGAAATGAAGTTTTTTCTGGAGTAAGTTCCTCTGTGGGCTTTTGTTCTAAATATGTTTTTACTGATTTTAGAGATAGAGAGGAAGGGTGAGGGAAAAAGAGATAAAACATTGATGTGATTGCCTCCCATAAGCACCCCAACTGGGGATCAAACCCGTAAGCTGGGTATGTTCCCTGACTGGGAGGTCAAAGCAGGGATCTTCCGATGTACAGGCTACGCTCAACCTGAACAACACCGGCCAGGGCTAAGTTCCTGTTTTGTAAAGTCAGTTCAGAAGGGCTTAAGGGTATGTGGGTGGGTGTGCACGCACACTTCATTGGGCTGCAGTGCTGTGCCCTGTTGGGTAAAAAGAGTCCCTCTCTGAACTTAAGTCTCCTCAGTTGGGCCATAGGGATGGGACTGGTGTCTACAAACTTCCACTTAGCACTCCTGTTTCCCTCACTTGTCTTCATCAGTACTTTCTGATCATAATTCCTCATTGATTTCTAAATGTACAAGGCTTGCACATTGTGAAAGAAACTTTTCTATACTTTCTCATTATTTGTTTCTTGTTTCGGGGAATATTTCAAGATCCTTAGATTTATAACTGTTTCTTGAAGGGCTTCTTTTTAACAAACTTGAAAAATATTAGTTTTGGTCTCCACTGATATTTTACTCTTATGTTTCTGCTTCTCTCATTTGTTTCTTCTTGTAGAAGGCAGCTCGAGGTTCGGTGCCTTTGCTCGCTATGGCACTAATGAAGAAGGTCCCATTTCAGGCGATTGGGAGGACTTGTTGTATTTATTCTTAGATATGCTGCCTCCTTTAGGAAGGGCTAGCTTCATCTGCCCAAGAATCCATCTTTAGCATTTCCAGGCCACATCAGTTAATCCTTTCCTAAGACTGCCTACTTCTTTCTGCTTTGGATCATATTATACACATGCCCTGGCCTCCTAGACAGATCATTTTTATCCTAGCATCCAGCACAGGGCCCCACTAGAAAAAACAGGCATCAAAGTGTGAGTACCATGCTGCTTCTACACAACTTACAATGTCAGTGGGACAAATGCTTTACTGCTCCCCATCTTCTGTGGCCTTCCTATATTGTATGTCATGACAAACATAGTATGTCTCATCTCTTCTATTTCTTCACTTAGGAAAGAATAGTTGAGACTCCTCCTTTCTAAATATTTGCCATCTATATGCAGGTACAGCAAATCACAATATTCCATTCTTCTTGCCTGGTTTCCATTATTCTGACTCTAAAAGAGGCTTTGTAAAGAATGCTTATAGGGCCCTAACCGGTTTGGCTCAGTGGATAGAGCATCGGCCTGTGGACTGAAGGGTCCCAGGTTCGATTCCGGTCAAGGGCATGTACCTTGGTTGCGGGCACATCCCCAGTCAGGAGCGTGCAGGAGGCAGCCGATCGATGTTTCTAATTCTCTATCTCTCTCCCTTCCTCGCTGTAAAAAAATCAATAATATATATATATATTTTAAAAATAATGCTTATAGGGGTGCCCTCCTTCTTGGCACCCTGGCCTTTCTTCCCTCTCAAGCATGCATCTCCTAAACTCTAAGGATCCCCACTAGACTTGCAATCCAGGGAGCAATGGGCAGCGGCAGTTAAACCTGGGCTAACCTATCTCCAAGGCCCCTTTTCTCTGATTTTGCAGTGAGCAGCCCACCTAGGTTCATTTCTTTCCTATAACATTTCTAGAGCCAAAAGCAGCTCTGTTTAGGTTCTCTCCTATTGCTTCTTCTATCCTAAGCCCTTCCTTATTTAACTGCCCCCAGCTTTAATAAACATACTTAAAAATGTTATTAAAAAAAGAATGCTAACAGGGAAAATGAACATTTCTTATAGGAATGTACTTACAGTTGCTGACAATGGCTGTTTTGAATACTATGTGTGACTAAACCTCTAAAATGATATTATCACAAAAACCACAAATGGATAAGTCCAGCTGAGTGTAGGTACAGTAGCCCCCCTTATCTGCAGGAGATATGCCCCAAGACCCTCAGTGCATGCCTGAAAGCACAGATAATACTGAACCCTGTATAGACTTTGTTTTTTCCTATACATAATTACCTATGATGAAGTTTAATTTATAAATTAGATACAATAAGATAGTAACAATAACTAATAACAGAACAATTATAACAATAGAAGCAAAGTAAGGATTACATGAACGCAAGCACTGAGATGCAGCAACAGTTGATCTGATAACCAAGATGGCTACAAAGTGACTAACAGACAGGTGGCAGATACAACGTGGATATGCTGGATAAAGACATGGTTCACATTCCAGGCTGGATGAAGTGGGACTACATGAGATTTCATTATGCTACTCAGAACAGTTCACAATTTAAAACTTAAGAATTGCTTATTTCTGGAATTTTCCATTTAGTATTTCAGGTTGACTGCAGGTAACTGAAACTGCAGAATGTGAAACTGCGGATAAGGGGGGACTATTGTATTACCTACTCAACTATCAGGGTGCAGCTTCTGTCATCCCTTTTTTTGTTTAAAATATATTTTTATTGATTTCAGAGAGGAAGGGAGAGGGAGATAGAAACATTAACCGGCTGCCTCCTGCATGCCCCCTATTCGGGTTCAAGCTTACAACCTGGGCATGTGCCCTGACTGGGAATTGAATTATGACCTCCTAGCTCAAAGACTGATGCTCAACCACTGAGCCACAACAGCTGGGCTGTGTCATCTCTTATAGGGAGGCAGCCCCCGCTTTCGTAACGATGATTGTTCTCTTGGTGTCCCCCACTCCCTGCTTTTCCTGCACAGACCTCTGTCACAGTATCTGTAAATGCTGTATAACACTTACTATTTATTTGTCTGACTTTCTTCAATTAACAGGATTGACCAACTAATCTGTGTACCTATAGCACTAAGTATGGTATGGGCGCTCAGTAAATGATCCTTATTATTATTAAAATTTACCATTAACACTTTTTACCTCATGTTTTTAGGTAGATGTATATTTTAGGATTGTTATGTTTTCTTGATGAATCAATCCCTTTATTTTTGTTGTTAGGCAAGAAAAAAGCGTTTCACTCCAGGTGAGTAGTGGTGGAGAATTACTTCAAACACCTGGAGGGCCATCACATGGA